GCCTTTCTCCTGCTGCTACTCAGCAGGCCCCGCAGTCCAGGTGACAGTAGGCTGGCTTCTCAGACCAATAAAAATATGGAATCATAATTTTACCATTACAAAAAAGAGGTGGGCAGAGAGAAAAGCTGATGTTAACACTCATCACAGGTATGAGAAAAGAAAGAAAATCTGATTTTTCCCATGAGGTGGGATGGGGCGTGTTTTTTTTTTTATGTTTAGCCACCATTCTTCTTAAAACTCACCATAGTTCAAGAGTTAAGAGTCACTGATCGCAAAACTGCTATTAGACTGTTACACCCGCATCACTGGTGGAATGACATTTAGCACAATTCTCCTCGAAAGTATTTTAACAAAAGCTATCAGGAACCACAAATGTGCTCATGCATTTTGATATGTATATAAAGCTATCTATACCTCTGGAGCTACTGAGATTAATATGGCACACTGGAAAAGTGGAAGCTAACTAAAGAGTTTACACATAGTTATTCAATGGTTCATAAAATAATGGCCTTGCGCCCCCATGTTGATAAACATTACAGGGCCAATATGAGGGCCAGGTAGGTCAAGGACACAGCAATGAAGAACATGCTTAACAGCAAGGCTGCTTCAGTAAAGGGAAAATGAAAATACAAGTCTACAGCGGAGTCACTGGATGGTGCAAATCGTAAATGCTCGACTCCTAATGAGAAGGGTGGTGGTTTTAAATGATTGGGAGACACTTCTGAAAAAAGGTCCCACAACCTGATCCAGAAAGGCGACAGCCTTGAAGATTCAAGGACGCCTGGTTCTACCCGGCAACACCCGAGCTCACTAGGATTGAGGATGGCCTTGGTGCTAACTGTTCTGAATGGATACAAAGGGTCTTCAATACAATTCGTGCAAAGTGGAATGAAGAGAATGTAAATTTTCCACATACTTTTTAAGGTCCCCACGTATAATGGTTGAAATTGAATGAAAAATATGTGTGCCTGTTGAAAAAACATTTCAAGTGTTAAGAAAAAAGGAAATAACTGTGTAAACGAACTATGTAATGGAGATTTTACTCCCTTTGTTAACCCCGTACGATGTTATGATTGTAGTGATAAATGTAAACATACGGCACAGCTGCCATTAATAGTTGCACTAACATGCCGGTGACTTTGGAGAAAGCATTGGAGAAATGAATCTTTCATTCCAGAACATATATTCAAGTTTGCATCAACTTCTCTATCACTAGTGTGCTGTGTACAAATTTTTCATTATGATATATATACATCATATATCTTTACACATATAATTCAATGACATTTCTTTCTTCATGTTTCGCAACCATCACCACTGATTAGAGAGAAATCGGAGAGAACTAAAACACGAAGATAATAAGCCCTTCAAATATGCTGACCCTTTCAGTTTCCCAAGTTTCCTCAAGTTAACATGCAAACAGCAAACAAAAATGTCTCGAGGGAGAAGTCTGGTGTATAAAGGAAGATGCGTCAATGGGACACGATGACTTGAGGGTGGTGGCATTTGCAAGAGTTGCTCAAACCCCTTCCAAGGTTCCGGGTCCTGCTGTTCATTTAGTTACATTCAAGCTGATTTTGACTCATAGAGACCCAATGTGTTTCAGAATACAACTGCACTCCCAGAAGGCTGTGATGTTTTGGGAAGTGGATTGACAGGCCTTACTTTGGAGGATCTCTGAGTGGGTGCCACCCACCTTTTAGGGACTTTCGCTGGAAGAAGCACATTAGGTTTTCACTGTCCCTGCAGGCCATCCCTTGACTCTTCTCGCCACTGTACCTGTTATACTGAAGGATTAACCTCCCCTCTTCCAAGCTTTTTGTTTTTTTAAACATACACACATAAGATTTTGTGAACCAACCGCTTCGTGCCTTTACCTTTCCCCATTTTAGACGCCCCAATCCTAAATTACCTGGAGCTAACAGCCCAGTACTGAGGAGACAACAATGTTTCTGGACATGATGAGTCGTTATTTCTGGTTGTATCTTTGGTCATCTGCATGCATCCACGAAGTTCAGGCTCTACCAAGCCAATCACCAAACTGCAGCACTATGCACCAGCTCCCAGCCAATCACCTTCCTCTTCATTTCATCAGGGTTGGGTCGGCTCCGTCCTAGTAATTACTATTAGGATGATTGGTGCCAGCCGCAAACCTCCGTGTCCACATATGCACCCTCCTACACTCAGACCAGCTGGCCCCTGGGGAATCCATGCCCATTGTCTCCGTATCCACACAACTTTTCAAACTTCAAACAAGCCAGCCTTTCTTTTCTCTCCTCTTTATCCTCCATGTCCAGCCTATCTCCACCAAACCAGCCTATCTCTTCATTGGGGGTTCATACAACTCTTATCACAATCCATACATACATCAATTGTATAAAGCACATTTGTACATTCGTTACCCTCTTCATTATCAAAATATTTGCTCTCCACATAAGCCCCCTGGCATCAGCTCCTCATTTTTACCCCTGCCTCCCAGCACCCCCATGAACCCCTGATAAGTTGTAAATTATTATTTTGTCATATCTTACACTGTCCAACGTCTCCCTTCACTCACTTTTTTGTGGTCCATCCCCCAGGGAGGAGGCTATATGTAGATCCTTATAATCGGTCCCCCTGTTCCATACCACCCTCACTCCACCCTCCTGGTATCACCATTCTCACCACTGGTCCTTAAGAGATCATCGCCCTTGGATCCCCTGTGTTTCCAGTTCCTATCTGTACCAGTGTACATCCTCTGGTCTAGCCAGATTTGTACGGTAGAATTGGGATCACGATAGTGGGTGGGGAGGAAGCATTTAGGAACTAGAGGAAAGTTGTATGTTTCATCACTGCTACCTCGCACCCTGACTGGCTTGTCTCCTCCCAGAGACCTTTCCATAAAGGGATGTCCAGTTGCCTACAGATAGACTTTGGGTCCCCATTCCGCACTCCCCCTCATTCACTATGATATGATTTTTTTTGTTCTTTGATGCCTGATACCTGATCCCTTGGACACCTCGTGATCATACAGGCTGGTGTGCTTCTTCCATGTGGGCTTTGTTGCTTCTCAGCTAGATAGCTGCTTGTTTACCTTCAAGCCATTAAGACCCCAGACACAATATCTTTTGATAGCCAGGCACCATCAGCCTTCTTCGCCACATTTTCTTATGCACCAATTTGTCTTCAGTGATCGTATCAGGGAGGTGAGCACACAATGGTATGATTTTTTTATTCTTTGATACCTGATAACTAATCCCTTCGGCATCTCTTAAACACACAGGCTGGTGTGCTTCTTCCATGCGGGCTTTGTTGCTTCCAAGCTGAATGGCCGCTTGTTTATCTTCAAGCTTTTAAGACCTCAGAAGCTATATCTTTTGATATCCGGGCACCAACAGCTTTCTTCACCACTTTTGCTTATGCACCCACTTTGTCCTCAGCGATAGTGTCAGGAAGGTGAGCATAATGGAATACCAATTTAGTAGAACAAATTATTCTTGCATTGAGGGAGTACGTGAGTGAAGGCCCAATATCCATCTGCTACCTTAATACTAACCCTTCATATATATGCACATAAATCTATTTCCCCATCCTCATATATAAATATATTTGTATATGGACATGTCTTTATTTAGACCTCTACAAATGCCCTTTGCCTCCTAGCTTTTTCCTTTATTTCTTTTTACTTTCCTCTTGTCCCACTATCATACTCAGCCTTCATTTGGGTTACAGTAATTCCTCTCGGGTACATTACCTTTGATCCTGCCCCACCAGGCTTCCTACACCCTCCTCACCACTGATCTGTATCACTTGTTGTTCACTTGTCCCTGGGTTTGTTAACAGCATTTCCTTTCCCCTGAACCTCCTCCTTTCCCACGTCTCCCCAGAACTGTTGGTCCTGTTGTTTTCTCCTCCAGATTGTTCATCCAGCCTATTTTACCTAGACAGACCTGCGGAGATAATAACATGCACAAAAACAATACAAATGTGATTTCTAATATCCATTGCAAAATCTAAACAGAGCTCACAGATAAAATTCATGTTTAAAGAAAGCAAACAAGTTTGAATGCCAGGAAGAAAAGCTCCGAGTTGATTTGTTTATCAGAATATCTTACAAAGTTCTTTCAGGTCTGCTAATAATGCCCACAGGGGCATACCAGTGCACTGTAAGCCTCAACCCAAAGGCATTCATCTCAAAGTCCCCAAATTAAGTGCCTGGATCCATTCCTTTCTTCAAGCCAGCCTCCGGAACAAAAGCACTAAGCGTTACTTGCCTCATGAGTTAAGAAGTCCATCACTCTGTTCCATGCTCTGCTTCTGGTTCTGCCCCTTCTCCTCTGATGCCATAGCTGTCTTCTGAACCCATGAGGTTCCCTGCACAGGGCTCTCAGGTCCAGAGAATGACTTCCGCTCCTGCGTCTTGCTGGTAATGGGATCCTTCCTCCTGTTTCTTGTTTTATACATAACTGGATGGCATTCCAGGGAATACTGTCCACAATTATTCAGAGGTAAATGCTTTCAGTATCCTCCACCACATTCTTCCCAGACCCATGCAGGGAAAGTTTATTGGGTGGGAAATATAGAGATATCGGAGAGAAGATCCACAATAAATAATTCACTGCTCCTGCCCAGTGTTCAGTCATTTGTACCAAACTATGCTGATGTTTAATGGCATCAATAGTTCATCGCACTTAAAATCTATCATGGCAAATGTAAAAAAGCACGCAAAAGAAAATGTATTTGGCAGGGAAGTTTATGCATGTGTGCAAGTGGGCATGTGAAAAAGAGAGAGAACATAACAGAGGAGAGACAAAAGCTGGTATTATATTACCGGCTCACAGACATTCATTTTTCTGCTTTGATTTGCACTGCTATGTTACTTGGTTATAGTAGACATTGGTGTTTAACCCCTAGCAAATCCCTGTGGGGTGGACTATTCTGCCCTATGAAGCTCAAGACCAAAAAAAAAAAAAATCCCTTCTTTTCACATTTCTTTATCTTTATTTATTTATTTGTTTTGGGGGGGGAGAGCCCAAATGCAGTCCCCCATGACCACAAATTATGCAGTCAAGTTTCCCACATTCAGGGAAATTGCAGCACACCCACAGTGCAATGGATAAGCCTCATCTTGGGAAAACCACCTTCCTGATCATGGTGTCTCTCCTGCCAGGTAAGTATTCACATGTATTTCTTAATAGAGTTGTCTGCCTTTAAGAAATAGTTCTTGAGCTTCATAACTTATATAATCATAGGTGAATTTATGATCCTTTGTTCACTAGGGAAGAGAGAATATTTGTTGGGAGGAAATGTGCTTTAAGAATCCTCCAAATGTATGATCGCTGAAGACAAACGTGTGCATAAGCAAATGTGGTGAAGAAAGCTGGTGATGCCCGGCTATCAAAAGATATAGTGCCTGGGGTCTTAAAGGCTTGAAGGTAAACCAGTGGCCATCTAGCTCAGAAGCAACAAAGCCCACATGGAAGAAGCACACCAGCCTGTGTGATAACAAGGTGTCTAAGGGATCAGGTTTCAGGCATCAAAGCACAAAAACTCATATCATTTTGAATGAGGGGGAGTGTGGAGTGGAGACACAACGCCCATCTATAGGCAACTGGACATCCCCTTATGGAAGAGTCGTGGGCAGGAGACGAGCCAGTCAGGGTGCAGTGTAACAACGATGAAACATACAACTTTCCTCTAGTTCCTAAATGCTTCCTCTCCACCCACTATCATGATCCCAAATCTACCATACAAATCTGGCTAGACCAGAGGATGTACACTGGTACAGATAGAAATTGGAAACACAGGGAATCTAGGTAGGATTACAAGGATCTACATATAACCTCCTCCCTGAGGGATGGACAACAGAAAAGTGGGTGAAGGGAGACGTCGGACAGTGTAAGATATGACATAATAATAAGTTATAAATTATCAAGGGCTCATGAGGGAGGGGGGAGCAGGGAGAGAGGGGGTAAAATGAGGAGCTGATGCCCAGGGGCTTACGTGGAGAGCAAATGTTTTGAGAATGAAGAGGGTAATGAGTGTACAAATGTGCTTTATACTATTTATGTATGTATGGATTGTGATAAGAGTTGTATGAGCCCCCAATAAAATGATTAAAAAAATACAAAAAGAATCCTCCAAATGTAAAGAAAAATATATTATTAAATAAAATAGCAACTGACTTTACATGAAAAAAATACAGGAAAATAATCCTTGGGTACCCACTGTTCTTTAATTCTGTATAAAGATGAGGCTGATAATTTACCAAATGTTTTCATCATTTACCTTATGAATTTATAATGGAATAATTATGATAATTTAAAAAATTAGCTATTGATTTTAATAGCAATATTCTTCTATTTCTCTTGCCTTCTAAATGATAATTTAGAAAATTAGCTATTAATTTTAATAGTAATATTCTTCTATTTCTCTTGCCTTCATTGCTGGATGAAAATAATATTTGAAAGAACTGACACAGTGCAACAGAAGCAACGAAGTGTATTGACCACTTGTTTCCTCCATGCCCTCCAGCAGAGAAATCGCTATGCAGGACTATTCAAGCCTTTTCACATCCTTAGGTTAGAAAGGCTATTTTTATGGATCTCCTATTTTTAGTTCAGAATAGTAATTATCCAATGCTCCTTCCCCAAACTGTGTGCTCCAGAGGTTCTATGTCATTTTAATCCATTTTAAAATTTATTTTAAATATATTTTAATCATTGAAGATATAATAAAATTAACATGTATTCTCAATAGCATATTTACCAAATTATAAACTATTAGCCTGTCATTTTCCCTGCACCAAAATTGTCATGACATTTTTACCTCATTGAAGAGTGCCCTGCTATTATTTGCAGTGGAGACATTACCCAAAATTATACTCAAGTTTAAATGGTTGCATTCTTGAGACTGTAATCTACTACCTCCAATTCCAAATGTCTGCAATTAACAAATCGCTTCAATAGTCTAACTGATTTACTTTACAAAAATATGTATTATAAATGTGAATATAGAGAATACATTTATACCAATCAATACTACTTAACACTTTAAAAATGAGTTTATATTTCATTTATATAAGAGTAAGATTTCATTTATATAAAGTAGTTCTCTAACTATTGACACTCGACAAGTTACGTAGATGTTTGGGGAACGTATTTAGATCCTGCATTTCCTTATCACACTGTAAAATTTCTTTATGATGATATAATAGCAGCTTCCACTTCAGCAAGGGAGTTTGTGTCTTACGCATCTCTCAGGTGTTAAGATCCCTTCTCCCTATCTTGATGCCTTTCTTCTTTTTATAGTTCAGCTTCTTTAATTATTTGCTCAACATACTTATTGAGTTAGTATGATGAGAGGATACAACACCAATGCACACATTTCCTGATTTTTTAAACCATACTGTATCCCCCATTATTTTTGCATAACTAAATCTTTTTGATCCACATACATGAGCCCCATTAATGTTTAAGAATTCCATAGTTCGTTATGACATGATCCACACAGTCAAATATCTTGGAACAGTCAAGAAAACATAAGCAAACATCTTTCTGGTAATCTCTGCTTTGAGCCAAGATCCATTTTAAGTCAGGACTGAAGTCCTTTTCTGAGTCCAGCCTGACCCTCTGACAGATCACTCTCAATGTACTGTTGCAGTTGTTGCTGAATGATCACTTGTAAAATTTTACTTGTAAGTGATGTTCTTTATGTTGATATATAATTTTCTAATCGTGCTATGTCACCTTTATTTGGAATGTGTACAAATTATATCTCTTCCATGTTGCTGGCCATGTTGCATCTTCCAAATTTCTTGGAATAACTCACTGAATAATTCCAGTGTTTCATTAGCTTGTTGTAACATTTCAATTGGCAGTTTGTCAACTCTGGGAGTCTTGTTTTATGCTAAGGCCTTCAGGGCACCTTGGACTTCTTCACTACCATTGGTTCTCTGTCAGATCCCACCTCTTTAATTGGCTGAATGCCTACCATTTATAATCTATGCTCAAATGTCTTCTTCAGAAAAATAATACAAATTGTATTACTTAAATAAAATGAGCACCTTAAGGTAAAACATGGCCAAAATATACATTTGCCAATTATAGGGTTTTATCTTTTATTTAATAATTTAATAAAAATTTATTGTCTTCATGTGTTTAGAAACTACTCTTAAAATTTGTATATGCACATGTGATTTAACAGATTGAAAAGCTAACAGTGACCTCTTTCTCTGAAACACATATTATTTGGCACCATTTCTAGACACCCTTAGGTCATCTAGCTGCTGCATGTTTTCTACTACTACAAATGTTATGGTAATGCTACAATTTATAACTATAATTCAGATTCCTATATTTATAGCTATGGAATCATTTCTTTATGGAAAATTATCATGGAAAGCATTAGCATTGGAAGCTCTTACTGTATGCCCGGAAATAGGCAGTACAAACAATAAAGCAGCTGATAGTTATATAAGTAGACGAATGATGGTAGATCAATTTGTTGGCAATAAGAATATGCTGAAATGTCTATTCACAAGACAAAGATGGAACAGTACTCAATTAAAAATGTTCATTTCAGGGCATGTATGGAGATTAGAATGGATAAAGCAAGCTGGATGTTTAGACAGCTACATACTTAAATAGTATTTGACATAGGAAGTAAAGTAAAAATTTTAAAAGTGTAAAAATAATTGGATTGGCAGAAATTAGGAAATGATTGGAACTGACATGTGAGAACATGCTCTGTTCCATATTTGGCCCCTGGCCTTGTTTTGTTTGATGATATTGAAATTGTCCATTATTTATTCCCACAGATGTACTCAGTTTGATTCCTGTGTGTTTCACGTGGTAAAGCCCAGTCGACATTACAAAAGTAGGGAAAGGACCATGATTGGGATGTGTATATAATTGCGGATTTTAGAACTTTCAGAATTGATTCTGGGCCATCTACCACCTAATTATGTAGTGGTTGGTGTATGACTCATGAATGATGACCAGTCCTGAGTCATAACCACTGGTATCCCAGGTTCTATCATGATCCACCACTGTCATGGAGTTGACTCTGGCTAATCATGATCCTGTTGGCAAGAAGTATGGCCAGAGTGCTTCTCAGAGGCAAGGATGATGAGAGTTCATCTCAGGTAGTTTGGTTGTCAGGAGAGATCAGTCCCTGGAGAAGGACATCATGTATGGTAAAGTAGTTGTACAGCAAATGAGAGCAAGGTCCTCAAGGAGATGGTGGACACCATCGCTGCAGCAATGGGTTCAAGTAGAGGAACAACTGTGAGGATGGCACAGGGCCGGGCAGCGTTTCCTTCTGTTGTAAACAGGGTTTCTATGGGCCAGAAGAGATTCAATGGCCCCTAACAAGGTTTTATGAGACTGTACACCTTTTTTGGAAGCAGTAGAGTTCATCTGTTCTGAGGAGCAGTTGATGGGCTTGAGTTGTAGACCTTATAATGAACAGTTCAAGTTTACCTGACTGCCACAAGGGTTTCTTTTCTAGATGGCATGCATTTCTAAGTTATTAAAGACCTGCCCAGTCAAGGTCCCTGAAAGCTAGGCTACTCCTGCAGGGCTGGCTAGGGGAGTTTAACCTGTTTTCAAACACCTTCTGCCTCTGGACAAAGCTGCCATATTGCTGAATAAAGGTCAGAACTCAAATAGAGTTCATACCCACACTGAAAATGAAATAAGGTCTTTCACTATAAAGTGCAGGCTTTAACAAACCACATGCTTTAGAATGTAAACACTAATTTCTTCAGTCTTTTTTAAAAACAAAACAAAAAAATTGAAAACATATCCTAATGATTTGGATATATTTCAATTCATAGTACCAGTTTTGATTAAGTATGACTTCAAATGCATTTATTTTTAAGTTCATTCCAATATTTTCTATTCTGTCCAATAGTGATATGTCTAGCTACTTTGGCTATGATGTTTCCCATAATAATAATCTAATTATATTTAACTCAAGCTATGAAAAGCTTTTAGTAAAAAAAGTAATAACATAAAGATGTTCTTCATCTTTCATGTGAATAACAATAATTTGAGATCATTATAAATGATGTAAATGTAAATTAAATGTAATTTAATGTAAATTAATTGTAAATTGTAATTTACAATTTGTATGTAAATAAAAATGCACATACAATTTGTATGTACAAATTTACA